CATGGAGACTGACAATCAGTACATATACATTACCAGTACTGCATCGAAAGATGTTTTCCCGCACAACACTTCTTATGCGTTTGAAAACGTCATTTCGCCGCTAATGTTGGATCCTTCCATGGATTATGAGGTGGCGCTGGTTAATTTTTTGCATCCCAAAATTACTACAGCATCATAGCAAATGATAATGATTTTAGTATTCAGTTTATTAGTGTTTGTGATAACAGTGCTCACCCAATTATGATTGACATGTTTAAGTACGTCCCGAAATTTAGCATGCTAGGTCATGCGAGAGAACCAAAAATTATGATAGATATGATTAATAAAGATATAACGGAACAAATTGCCGATATTAGGCGTGGATGCAATTCAAAAATATATGCCACAGGGGAGACTTCTTATCTATGACTGGGAAACAGAGCGCGTTCGCGTAGAAATTATCGTTCACGCGGTTGGCGATGGGAGGGAAGCACGCTGTCATCCCGATATGGCTGTTCGCTTCTCGCCTCGTCTGGCGCACATATTAGGGTTTAGCGAAAAAAAAATATATCGCTATTATGTACCTCGCACAGTGTCTGTTGATTATAAATGGTTATTATATAATCAGAATGTAAGTATGAGGCCTCCGAGAAACGATGGCGGTGTGGACTTTATTTATGTGTATTCAGACATTGTTGTTCCTTGTCGATTTGCAGGACAGCAGGTAAACATCTTAGACGCATTTGCTTTGCAAGGTTCGAGTACAAAGGGGTATACACCCACGCTTTATAACAGCTCTTAAATAAGACATTAAATTCTGTGGGGGTGCGCATTACAGATCAGAATGGTTATCCAATAGTTTTCGAGGAAGGACGTTCTATTACGCTTATATTGCACATAAGATCTCGGTAAAGGCTGCCCGTATATAAAGACAGCACATGCATATCTTTGCTTATTTTACATTAGAACGTCGTCCTGGTGTGTTTGCTTTATGCATATCGAAGATAGACACCATTTTGATTTCCGCCATGTATGTAAGAGCACCCTTTGTCCCCCACCGAGGAATTCATGGTAATATTTGAACAACCGGAATCGCAGATTAAACAGTTTCGAGGAGGGGGCGTGGGGGACATTAGCGTATATAAAGTCTTATGACCATTACAGAAGAGGCGCCGGATTATTATCTTTTCTCGGAAATATTGGCAAGAGATTAATTCCATTTGTTTCTAAGCTTGTTAAACCAGCATTACTCGATTTTGGATCTGGTGTTATTGATGATATGAGACAGGGGAATACTAACTTGAGGTCTTCTATGAAAAAGAGAGGAGTGGAGGCTGTCAAACACATTGGCGCGAGAGCAATGAGAGGGGGAGGAGGAGGGGTGCGTAGAAAACGAAAAAGAGTGAAAAGATTAACGATTCGACCAAGTTGTTCAGCCTATAAAAAAGATGTTTTTTCTTTGGCTTAGTCAGTTACGGTCTCGCCTTGCGCTGTGCGCAATAATAATATAGAGATACAGATTGTGATATTATTATTGTTATTGTTATTCATATTATCAATCATGAATCAGTACAAGACCATTATCGTCTTATGTGGCCGGGGTAAGCGATATGTTTCCCAGGTCGAATAGGCTACGTATGGTTGAATCAGGGATTGAAGACAGATGTGAAGTCGACGTCCTGCCTTTTAATGCAGGGATAAATGGGTCTGTTACAGATAATTATGCAGAATTTAGATGGCCTGCCGGGCAGAATTGTTATATTGACCTGTCAAGATTGGTTCTGGAGATTAAGGGTAATCTGAAGAAAGGAGATGGCGCGCTGAAGCTGATCATGCTGTGTTGTGCAACTCTGCTATGCACTCGCTAATTAAATCTGTATCGGTTTATTTTTAACGGTCAACAAGTAGAACAAAATCCTCTGTATAACTTTTCGTCCTATGTTCGCTTAGAAACGGGTATGTCTCCTTCGCTGAAAAAAACTTTAGGAAGAAATATGTATTATTATGATAGTTCTAGCATACCGAGGACCTACAATAAAGAAATATTTACGAATGCTAGCACGCAAGAGAAATCTGCTATGAGCGAGGTTAAGACTCACGGATTTCATTTTATGGCTCCGTTATTGTTAGATATAGCATCAATGGATATGTATCTTTTAGACAATGTGTCTATGAGAATACGACTGGAATTTGCCTCTGACAAGTTTGTTATTAACGCCGAACCGGAAGCGAGTAGTTCGAATCCTAAGGTGGAGATAGAAACTTGTAAATTGCATTTAACCACACTAAAACCCGGGATTCAGCAAGGGAGGCTCTTAACAAATCTTTGCTTCGTAGTCCTCTTAGCTATATATTCAATAAAACGCTATACAAAACTTATGTCATGGCAAGTAACCAAACCCAGCTGAGCATTGATATGCCCTGGGGATCAACGATTCCCGAAAAGTTAGCTCTTTTTATGGTGGACATGAAAGCATATGCAGGAAATTACAGCGAAAATCCATTGCACTTTGGTCATAATCATTTGAGCAAGCTTTCGGTTATTGTTAATAACAACTCTGTGTACAATATAAGTACGAGTTTTCCGAGTCGTTGCTCAGATTTGTATTATCACTCGCTGAATGCGTTGGGGTTGGAAAAAGAACATTCACTCGACAGAGATGGATTTGTGAATGGAAAAATGGTAGCAGTTTTGGATTTGCAACCAGAAAAGCTACAAGACGCAATTGCTATTGAAAACTCTGGAAGCCTTAGGATTGCCGTTGAATTGTCACAACCTCACGACTCGAACATTGTTTTATTTTTGGTAGGCGATACACAGGGTGTGATGTATGTTGATAGTGATCGAAGGGTAGTTACAGATATTCGCGCATAATGAATTGTGGTGAGGTTGCAGACGTTTGTAGACAGTTTCTCAGAGGTGGATATGTGTTGCGAGGGTGTTTCTTGGCCGATCAACTGCCCATTAGAAAAGATCGTACAACATATAATGAATTTTTTGTGGTTAACATACTTACCTCTCGGCACAGACCAACATTAATGGGTCATTATGTATTAGTAGTTGTTGGGAAATATTGTATTGCCTACTTTGATTCCTACGGAATCAAGCCTCATATTTATTCTCCTTGGTTGCAAAGATTTATCGACCAGTATTATGATAAGAGCTTCCTTGACATTGGTAGACATTTGCAAAGCATTGATAGTTTAACATGCGGTGCCTATGCGATCTTTATCATGTACCATATTAATTTGCATGGAATAGATTATATTGTTAATTTTCTGCGCTTTTATTTTTCACAGAATGATTTTAGATATAATGACAGAAAGTTATTAGATTTTTGTATAGAAACTTTAAAATGCCTCGGTGTGAAAGGTTGTTTTGTAACGAATCACTCAGTAAAAAGGAATGTGAGCGAATGTTTTGCGGAATAGGTAATTAAGTACAGACCTCACCCCTTCACCCCTCCCCCTCGTGTTTTAAGAGGTTGGGATTGGTGGGATGGTCTGCTGGTTCTCAGATCTTGTCGTATAAAAGGCGTTCGATTCTGAAGGGTGATACAGTGTTTTTCTTAAGCATACCAAGATGAACTCAACCTTTATGAAGAATACCTCGCTGCCAGGTAAAACATTTCTTTGTTTTTCTCGTAAAAACTCGGTGTTTGACTTGTATTATAACTATGAACATTTTTTGATATTTTGTGTTGTTTTTTAGATGTTGAAGGGTAATTCATTTGGTGTTTTTTATTTACAGGTGTTGCTGTTGGAAGTACAATAGCAATTTTTCATTGGGATGGGTCTGCTAACGAATACACCTTTTACAAAGGTGAGTCTCTGAAAACTTGAACTTTTTTAACTTTATCAGATATATGTATTTTCATTTGTGTACTGTTGCCATTGTAAATCGATGTGTTAATATGTTTCTCTGTTGTAGTCATTGCAAATCCTAGTGTGTTCATGTGTTACTTTCTGTTGCAGCTTTTGAGGATGGTGCCGATGCATGCGTCATTGTTTTACATAAGCAGAGTGTGCGGTCGCAGTCGGTATTATCCCCGAGAAAAAGAAGAAGGTCTCTCCAGTGGAAGCCAGCACCTCCGGGACGACAGCGGAGAGAGCTGACACTTTCGCGGAACCGAAGGAGGCAGCAGACGCGTCATTACCCATGTGTCACTGTGTGACGTCTTGTTGTATATCGCCTGTGTGGGATGAACCCTCACCTTCCAGCCCTCAAGATGCCGCTTTCGGGGAACCTGAAGAGAACCGAGATGTGTCACCCTCTTACATGTCGCCTGCGAGGGTCGAGTCCTGCTCTCGCGTTATTTTGCCTGCTGTGAGCCCTACGTCGCCTGCATACCGTCCCACGGGAAATAGCGAAGCTATTCCGTTTGTGGACATTTCAAGCGATGAGGACGATGAAGAGATTGGGTTGGTTGCGGAAAGATTTTCCCCTCCTGCATCGCCGTCTATTTCAGATGAGATCCCACTCATAGAAATTTCAAGTGGTGATTCCATTCAAATTATATCCCCCTGCCCGTCGCCTCCTCTGAATTTTGGCCTTACGCAAAATATGCCTGATGAGGA